TTGAAGGGTCTGTTGGTTATACATCTGGGTTAAAAAGAAAAGTTATATTGTCATCTCACAAGAAACAAAAACATAAACTCCACGAAAAGTATAAAATCTAAAGTTAGAAGACAAATTTTTTATTGTTATTCAAGCACAGTTGTCTCCATTTTCACCCCACCACATCCCCTGCCCCACCCATTCCCACCTTCTACCCCCATGTGAGCAGGTTTGGCTTTGTCCTTGTATCCTTTATATACGTTCCTTGATGGTCCTTCCTTTATTATCCCCTATTATCCCTCTCCCCTCTCCTCTCAGGTTACTGTCAGTTTGTTCTTTATTTCAGTGTCTTAGGTTGTATTTTGCTTGTGTGTTTGTTTTGTTGGTTAGGTTCCACTTATAGGTGAGATCATATGGTATTTGTCTTTCACCACCTGGCTTACTTTATTTAGCATAATGCTCTCCAGTTCCATCCATGCTGTTGTGAAAGGTAGACTCTTAATTGTAGAAAATGTTATAGGAGGATATATTTATTATCTTTGAGGAAAAGGCATCTTTATAAACAAGAAACAAAACAAAGAATTCATTGAAGATTAATTCTGTGCCTAAGTGCAAATGTAAAATTCTTATATAGTGAGACAACTTCATGCAGAAGAAAATGGTAGCCTGGGAGAAAGGTATAGTCATACTTTGGTACTCATCAGCTTCAGAATTGATCATACCCTGTAGTCATCACATTTTGAAAAGAAAAAAAGCTTCAGCACTCAGCACTTGTTTCAGGACTGGTTGCACTTGCATGAGTCACAAGGCTGTCCTGCAGGAAAAAATGCTTCATCATTCGGTACTTGTCAGTCTTGGCACTCATCAAGAGTTTTAGAACAAATTAATGACGAGTACCTAGCTACCGCTGTATTTGTAACATATATTTAAAATAAAGTGTTAATATCTGCTTTAGACTAAATTGTTTGCCTTCTCTCAATTACCAGTGATTGATGATTTAATTGGTCAAGCCTAGGTAATGAAGCATCCATAAAAACCTAAAAAGATGAGGTTCAGGGAGCTTCTGGGTTGGTAAACATAAGGAGGTGCTTGAAGAGTGGGATGCCCAGAGAGAGAAGAGAAGAGAATCTCCACAACCCTTTCCAAATACCCTGCCTTTTTTATCTCTTCCATCTGGGTTTCCCTGAGTTATATCCTTATATAATAAACTGGCAATCCGGTAATACATTTCTCTGAATTCTGCAAGTTGTTCTTGCAAATTAATTGAATATAAACAGTGAGTTGTGGGAACCTCTGATTTATAGCCAGTTGATTGGAAGTACAGCTGACAATCTGGACTTGTGACTGTCATTCTGAGTTGGGGGATCATTGGAACCTCCAATCTGTAGCCAGTTAGTCAGAAGTACAGGTAAGAGCTGGGGTTTGCAGCTGGCATGTGAAAGAGGGGGAGGAAGGGAGAAGGAACAGTCTTGGAAACTGAACCCTTAACCTGTGGGATCCGATGCTATCTCTTGGTAGATATTGTCAGAACTGAGTTGAATTCTTGGACACTAGCAGGGTGTGCACACACACACACACACACACACACACACACACACACACAGAGGAATTGGGCCCAGGAACCCAAAAGACTATGATAATATCCTTAACAGTCTTCCCAAAAGGCAATAAAAAATTAATGTATTAAAAATGAATAAAGATCAGGAACAAGAAATAGACAAAAGAAGGGCAAATGACGAACAAAAGTATAAAAACAAGCTCAACTTCATTAGCAAAGTACGACATAAATATGATTTAGTTTTGGCAATCAGATCAGTAACAATAAAAAGATTACTGAAATACACGGTGGGTGATGTCAGGAATAGGGTGTTTTTCTCTCAGAAGCACATGTTGTTCAATTTAGCAGTACATATCAACAATGAAAACGAGCATGCCTTAACCTGCCAGTCCCACAAAACACACACAAAGAAGGCAGAAGGATATTGATATTGAAATAGAATTATTTGGAAAAAAAAGAAATGGCATTATTTGAAAGAGGGATGTAACTGGAAACAAAAAACAGCTCTCCTTTAATAGGAAGTTGTTAGAGCCTGGTGCATTTACATTATGTAATACCATTTAGCTGTTGAGAATATCCTGTGTGAATTGACATGAACTAAAAAAAGTTCAGAACACAACAGCACATCTAGCATAATGTCATTTTTTTTAATAAAATTGTGTCATTGTATGAAGGGGGGATCAAAAATACTACAATTTATTTATAAAAATTTGTGTGTTTATTCTTACATGTTTGAACTTCAGTCACCTTCTAAGTACTCTCCATTTGATGCAATGTACCTATTGAGACATTTTTTCCACTGCTCAAAACAGTTTTTGAACTCATCAATTTTGATGACTTTTAGTGCTTCTATCATTTTTGTTTCACCTCTTCCACATCAGCAGAACCTTTCCCTTTGAGGACTTTTTTCACCCAGGGAAACAAAAACAGTCACTTGGGGAGAGATCAGGTGAATAGGGAGGGTGGAGTATGAAGTCATGTAGTTTTAGGTCAAAAACTGCTGAGCACTCAGCACTTTGTGGGCAACTGTGCTCATAAATCGCCCATCATGAAATGGGCAAATGTGCTGCAGTGTTTTCAAACAAAAAAATTCACTAAAGCCTAACACAGCCTCAACAACACCAGCTGGTACACTAATACAGATGGGTTCCTAGAACACTTACCTAGTGGGGGAAGCCTATACTACAAGGGGTCCACCCTGCAGAAGATAATTCTAGGTTTTGGGGGGTCCTCCTCATATAGTAGTGTGTAGGATTGCCTCATTTAATGAGAGAAAGTTAGTATGACAACAACAGGGTATATTTTTTAAATATTTGAATTTATGTAACATTTGGGGTATTTTCTTAATTTGGATTTTACAAAATGCTAAAATTAATTCAAGTGAAATTAAATATGAAACAGGACTGAATTTATATCCTTTTATAAGTAGAAATGTAAAATGCACTCCAAATCCAAAATATATTCCCTTCAGATTTCAATGAATCTTCCTTCATTTTCTTAAGAATAAAATATATGTAAAATGGTCTTTCATAAACTATCTAGGTTATTAACTTAAAAATTAGCAAGTATGAGATGTTTTGATAATGTAAAAACCTTCAAACTATTTCTCATAATTTCATGTCATACCTTTATCATGTTACTTGCAGTTGATATTTTTCCATGGCAGGAAGACAGCTCCCTATGGAAGCTTTAAGCAGAACACCTGACATATAAATTTACATCTCCAGATTACTAAAATTTAACTTTAAACAAGATTCTGATTTACTTCCTCTGCTGTCATGATTGGGTTCAAAATTAAAGGACTGTTTTCACTTGGAGAAAAAGAAAAAAATGTAGTTTCATCTTGTTCCAGTGCTGTTATATTACCTCAGGTTTTCTGACAGCTTAATTAAATTCAATGGTATGGGGTATTTCAATTACAAAGAAACTGAAAGTGCAAAGACAAAAATATGTTTCAAACATCTTTATTTATTAGAAAAGCAACAATTTCAGACAATGCTGCCACTTGGCAATGCATGGGCATTATACAGAAATGTCTCACTTCTTGCATTTTTAAGAACCAAGTTTTTCATTCTTAATTTTATAGTGGTTTTTCATCATCTAAAATTTCTATTAATTGCAAACATTATATGTGGCATTTATTTTGCCTTTTCTTTATAGATTGTAAGATATTTAGAAGAATGAGTCCTAAAGGTTTTCATCCCATGATATCCCCAAATAATAAAAAATTTTAAAAAAGACAAATGTGTTTCCAGTTTGAATTATATTAGAAGATAAGAATGAGAGAAGTTGTTACTCCAGGTGGAAATCATTAGTGCTGTCCACAATTATTTTCCGTTCTTCTCCTGGGCATGTCAGAGTATTGCACTTACCTGCCCCCTTGAAGTTGGTGGGACCATATCACTTGCTTTGCTTAGAGAGGCTTGAGCAAAAGTAGTATGTATTACCTCCAGTCCAAGCTCTGTCCTCCAGTGCATGAGGCATCATGCTGTCTTTGCCCTCTAGCATGGCAAACAGCAACATATAAAGTGGCATCTGCTTTGTCACCTGTGGTCTCTGAGTGATTACTTTGAGCAGTTTCCCCTCTGAGTAGACAGGAGCCGTAGGTGAGATTCAAACCTTTGTGGGTTTGAATCTCAGAGATTTGGGGGTTGTTATCACAAATATACCTCAGCCATCTTGATTAACACATTTAGGTCACTGTGTTGTAGAAATGATCAGATTTGCATCATAATTATGACCTACCTAAGTAAGGTGTGGCAGGAAAAAGAAAAAATGCAGATATCACAGCAGAATAGGAATAAAATGACAGCAAAAGGTAATGATGGAAAACAAGTTGAATTTCTTCCCCTCTCTTAGCAGTGATTTTCAACTGGTGTACCACAGTGTACCGGTGTGCCACAGCATACTGGTTGCCATAATTTTTGAAACATGCACTACCTGACTGTTTAGTCAAGGGGCACTCCCTTAGGTTGACAAATTAAAAAATGACAACAGCCAACACAACAGTGACCATTTGGTGTGAATGAATCAAAATTTTATACCTATTTTGCTGATCTAAAAGTCAGATCAGCAAAAAATATTTTTTCTGGTGTGTCACAGAATTTTAGTAATTAGTTTATGTGTGCCATGAGATGAAAAAGGTTGAAAATCACTTTCATAGCAGATAAAAATGGGAGTTTAAGTTCAAGAGTTCTAACTTTTTTTAAAGATTTTATTTATTTATTTATAGAGAGAAGGGAAGAGAGGGAAAAAGAGAGGAACAGAGGCATGAATGTATTGTTGCCTCTCATGCGTCCTCTACTGGGGACCAGGCCTGCAACCCAGGCATGTGCCCTGACTGGGAATCGAACCAGTGACCCTTTGTTGTGCAGGCCCGCACTCAACCCACTAAGCTATACCAACCAGGGCAAGAGTTCCAACTTTTGTATGACTTTCTTAAAAAATAACCACTCTTGATAAACACTAGTCCAAGTTTATTATAAAATCATTTGTTTGAAGTTTTAAACTAGTCAAATCGCAAAAATTATGAATTGAATACTAATGAAAGCAACACAATATATCATTATTTATCCTCTTACACAATCCAACAAGTAAGAAGAACACAAAATACATTTATTCACACAGGACACAAATCTACTGTTAGTTGATATCCAACACTATCTACTAGGTGGTAAAATATTCTGACACCCAGATGAAGAATTAAGAAAACGTATGTTTCCATCCTGTATATTCCTACCACAGTTTATTGATTTAGGGCAATAATGGCAACACAGGTGAACCCAGCAACAAGTGTCACAAAAAAATTCATTCTCTGTATCTAACAAGCACTCTAACTTGGGTTCTAAGATCAGGCACACAACTAAAGCAAGTTTTTGTTTTTAAGTCTGAAAATTAGCAAATAAGACTATCTGTTACATAGGACAGGTTTTGTGTGTGTGTGTGTGTGTGAACTTTTAGGTATCTTCCACTTCAGCAATATGCATAAGTAGAATCAAATTCTCACCTTCAGAAAAAAGTCTGAAAGAGCACATTTCTATCACCTACTTAAACCCACCAGTAAAAAGTCTGATGTTTGGGATCACACCCACAGCTAATTATGAGTCATCATTATCTGTCTTTGTGTTCATCATTAGAAAACCCATTTGCTGTTGGATTTTTCTTATTTTTTTTTTTAAAAAATCATTAACATCAGGAAAAGCCTGGCATTTTCAAGTCATTTGCCCATAATAATATAATTACCCAGAAATAAGATGACAAATAATATGAGAAGTTGCTTACTACTTTACTCAATGACAAGGGAAATTCAGTTACTCTGGTCTAATTGTGAATTTTAAAATAGAGTTTGAAACTGCAAAATCAGTGAACTTGTTGAACACTATTTGTACTATTTATTTCCAATAGTCAAACATATATACTTCTACTTAAAAAAATCTGTATAAAAGTTATTGGTGAATGCTCCGCTCTATTCTTTTTGATGTAGTAAATTGCCTAACAATACTGAGATAGGATTAATAACAGGAGTCAAATTCTGAAATCAGATAGGCATATGGTTGTGTTCCCTTTGTTTCATTTTCTTTGGGTGAAAACCTAGAACAACGTAAATGTATATTCTTCTACTACATTTTTTTTTCAATTTTTGGTGTCTACTTCTTGGGTTTAACCTCATCATAAACCAAATATAGTTGTCCTAATCCTGTGCTTGGATAATATAGATAATTCTTCCAGGATATGTGCAGAATGAGTCCCTGTCACTCCCCCAAACTTTGCATGCCCATGCATTGCCACACAGTCATGTCCCTATATCTCCTCCACACAGATACACATGGCCAGGGTGACATGTGTATCTTCAACAAATACTGTTGCTGCCAGGATGACAGCAACAGAGCAACAATTCTGCCAATCAATTAGCAAAAAGCCTCAAAAGCCTCAAGGAGAAGAGGACTGGAACTCTGAATGAGAGTTTCTTCCCCGCCCCTCACCAGGGTCACGATACAAGAAAGTGTTCACTGCAGCATCTTACCCAGCCAGCATAAAGAAAACCAATAGAGGTCTGGTTCCCTGTGCCTCCGCTCACAGGACTCCAATATTTTTAAGCAGCTGTGACAAATAGAGATCACCTGTGAACCAGGCTTTATGTCCTCTTAAAACACAAGAGAGCACTTAGGAATATAACAGCAATCATAAATTGTGATGGCTTTTGTTAAGCATATAACTATATATACACACAAATATATGTATATATATACATATACAAGTATATATGCATGTATACATATATAAATAAATATGCATATATCTCACAATTACCAATGTAATTGTCAATTTAAATTAAAAATGTACAAAATCTTTGCACTTCCATGCTCATTTCATATTAAGAAATTCTTGTGATTCAATTTGGCAAGGATTTATCAAACATCTACTATGTGCTCTATAAATAGAACAACTTAAATTTATATAATTACTCATTTACTGGTCTTAAATTAAGAATATCACATACCAGTATGTATATGCAAGTTTCCCTTTTTTAAATTCACTGAATAAAATGGTTGCCATTAAAGGCTATTCACTTAATCTTTTTTAACTTATTCATGAGAATTTTCTAAACTTCACAAAAGTAGACAACAACTTCTAAGGTACATTACTGATCAAAAACAAAAGCCTGTGAATATGACTTAAGTCTAGTTGAACTGCCCAAATTTCATGGAGAATCTGAAACCAGTCTCACAGGAAAGATTAACTATGAAATGAGCCCCAGTTAATGAAGGCTATAGAAATGCATTTCACTGTTACAAAGCAGAACTATCTGCCCTATGTTCTGATGAACGCAGTACATTTTGAAAGATTATTAAAACTTTATGGGTTGAAGTATGCAAACAAGCAAAGAAAAAGTCTAAACTATTAACAGGAAATTTGAGGAAAGATTATTACCCCTAGAGCTCTTGGTTAACCACGATTACGAT